CTAAATTCTGGCCCCCCAGAAGTCAGTGGTCAGATTCACAGTGATTTCAGTGTGACCAGAATTCAGCTCAGTGGACAGTGGACGCTAACATCCCAGCTCCCAGATGTCTCCATAAAAACCTACTCAAGCCTAGGACCAAAAGATGCATCCAAACTCTTGCACAGATATGGAAAGTTTCACTGATTGTTTCTCTATATCTTCTGTCCCCTTCCACCAAAAATCCCAAATACTTTCAATCCTCTCCTAGTACCAGGCTCTATTACTGCCACCGCAGTTTTTCCAAGAGAGCATTTTAGCAACAATGGCCAAGATGGCTGGAAATATTTTGAAGATGGGAAGACTTTTTTGGCAGAGTTTTATAATCCATCTAATATTGGCAGATTCTAGGTTGAATGATTTGACATCTCAGTTCTGCTAGCTGCAACAAAATGGGAGCTCTGGGTGGCTGAGTTTTCTATCCCAAAACAGTTCTAAAAGTTCCAATAAAAATGCCTTTTGAACAAAAACCTGTAGTGTTTCATAATGTTAGCTTCTACCTGGATACAGATACATTTTTAAATGTTAAAATACCCCTTGAATGAGAGTATCTTAAGTAAAAATTATTTGTGCATCTCTAGAACTTTCCATTAAAGCTCTTAAAGCATTTTGCAAACGTAACCAAATTAAATCCCACAATAAGCACTCACTCCTGTGAGTATTGTTACCATTTTACAAGTACGGAGAGGTGGTAAAAGCACTAGCCGCTGAAGTCACCTTGACATAAATGATAGAAATCTCTCTTTCTCTATTATGGAAGTTATGTGAAACCTGGAGTTTAAAATTAGAGACTTCGAGAAGCAACACCTCATTGGCCTCTCCCCATACCAAAATATTTATTCAGGAGCAAGAACAGTGTTTTGTGTCACTGGAAATGGGAACAATTTGCAAGCTCAAATTGCACATCAAAATTACCAGGCAACCTCATGTGCAAAACAGCAGACTTTTATAAAGTTTAATTAATAGGTGCTAGTTTTGCTGCTCATCAAGATGTGTGATCCACAGCCTCCCTCCTGCAGGAGAATTTGCGCAAAACAAACAATCTTTCCAACGGTTTTTCACTCATGCAACAGCTTTGGTTAGTAAAACAAGGTCAGGAGTAGAACAAAGCTAAAGCCCCAGTCTTACAAATGGATCTGCTCAGATGGCTCTCCAAAGAAGCTGCAGGGATTCTAGCTTGCCTGAAATCATTTACAGGATTGAGGGCCAAACTCTTAGGTGACTGTTACTGAAGAGAGGTGTGAAATTGGTCCTCACAGAAGTGGTGCAGCACAGACATCAGAAGCAAGACCTGCCTATCAATTTGTTTCAATCCCGATCTGGAAGGACCATACAGAAAGGTGCGGGAAGTCGTGTCTTCATGCCCGTATCACCCTCTGTCTCTTTGCTCAGATGTTCAGCAAGCCTGCCAAGTAGCGCCAAATGGAATTCCAACACTGAACATGTTGGTAACACGTGCTGGTCACTACCAACCCCAACTGGATTTAAGCCACTGATCTAGAGATTAAACACTTTGTATACCATTACTAGCTTTCCACAACTCCTCAAACCAAATTCAATAGCACCATGGCTTAAAAAGTCTACCCAAGTCCAAAGTAGAGACAGGACTAAACCCATTGCTGGAGGCTGATATGAAAGGCAAGCAGGGAATGCCCACCAGGAAACTCCATGGGCCCATAATCTGATGAAGAGCCAGAGCCTGATACAAAGATGTATGGGGGCTGCCCGGAGACTTCAGTTTCTTGTATTTATACCAGGCTGCTATCCCTGGAGCCTGCCAACATGGGGATCTCTTCCATATCAGCCTCTGGTTATGGATACAGATAAATTCTATAGACTCCCCCACTACCTTCTCTCCAAATGCTGAAATGCTTTTCCCTTCCTGCAATCCTGCATTCATTTACTGCAAGATTGCTGGCAAGGGTCTCTACTCTTCCCCTTCCCCAACCTTATTTTCCCTCAAGAAGCTTTAGTTTTCCCAAAAAGCAGTAGCACAGCATTGACGTGATTCTTGTTATTTTCACAGCTATTTAAAGGGATGCTAAAAGCAACAGGGAAAGTGTCCATAGTGGCACTAATTTCACTCTGCTGCTACTTGCCACTGGGACTTTCTACAGATCTAGGGAGACAAAATGCATCAGCTCACATTTGAAAGGTTGTGTTTTTTTTCTCTCTACAGTTAAAGGCCAGAAACTTCCCTCTACCAAAAAGAAACATACACTGCAGAAACTGATATATGCTTCCTATCCTGCCAAGGCAAGCTTTGTAAGCCCCAGCCCTGAAGCTCAAAGAAATATTAAATTCAGAGGTATTAAAACAGGATAGAGTTCTCTTCACATCCCCCCTTAGTCACAGTTGAAATCACAGTTTGGCAAAGGTGAAAAGTTGCAATTCCATACTAAAATGCAAAGACAAGCCTATAGCCTATCCAGGACGTGCCCATACCAGAAAAAAATCATATCCACTTTTCAACAACACTGGTGTGGCTGCACCAGTGTAAACAGGGTGAAGGAATTTAATATTCCATCATGAAAAGCTGCTCAAAGCACCTGCCCCACAGCTGAAAAATGAGCATTGATTCTTGGATGATAGGCAAAGTCCAAGCCATTTCTGTTTTCCCATCTTGGCCTCATCTTCACTAAAAAGTCAAGCACTGGCAATGGTGGTTCCAGAAACAGTTCCCCCTGAACTGGTTTTTAAGTCTGTAATGTAGACAGAACTAGGCTGGTTTTAGCACTGTTGCTGAAAGCACTACACACCATGATTCGCACACGCATACACTCAGTAAATGTACATAGAATATTAATGATCCCCACTCCTGTTCCTTATACTGGACTCTAGCTACACATTATAATATTCACCTCTTTGAGGCCTGGGCAAGAATATTGGCTCTTTTGCATGCAATCAAACATGATCATGTATACAGCTGCAACCTCTGCATCAAAAGGGGAAAAAAATGTTTCACAAGCTTTTTTTTATTTATTTTTTTTAGACTCGCCTAAGCTAGTATTAAAGAATGATTTCATGGCTTTCACCCTGCCAATTAAAAGGAGTGAATCAGCAGCAAGGATGTGCTGATGTGATCCTGGATTATTAGGATGCTCCTCCATTCACAGTATCAACAACAGTAAAAACAAAACAAAACAAAAAACAAACAAACAAACAAAAAACCTGTTTGAAAAACTCACAGCCATGCCATACGAATGAGGCGTTTGCCATTTTATCTCAACCCTTCATTGCTTAGCCTCAATGGATTTGTGGCCATCTGCTTCAGAGAAATTTTGCTTGTATAGCAGTTACTGCACCTTCACCCTCCTCTTCACAGCAAGCTCAGCAGGGAAACTTTCCCACTATATTTATATATAATATATGCATATAAATAATTTTATGCTTTATAGTTTGGTAGTATTTTAAAAAGTTCTATTTTTTAAATGCTTAAAATCTTTTAAGTAACTAAATGTATTTTTGATGCTCTCTAGTGTGAACAGGATAGTTTGTCTTTTTGGTAAGTGCGAAAGCTAGAACTAAAGCAGCATCTTCTGCACATCTCCATTTCCCCTCCTGCCTTGATTACAGAGAAACCTACATTATCAACCACCTCACGTCATCTTCTGTGCCCACTTTCAAGTATCCTTAATGTTTCCAGTATGCTTTTGTTCAACCTTTGCCAGGTGCCAGAGTTTTGCTGGTCCTTAGAGTGACTGCTTAGGATAGCATTCACTGTATTATGCTGCAACCTGACAAATGTCGGTATATTGGAAATAATCAGCTGAATTCTTGTAAGGCAGGCTATTGGCCAAGCACATCTTTAAAGCTTCCCCTTTCAGAGAACATCCTCACTACATTCTGTCGTGGCAATTCACATGCCAATTCCTTTCTCTTGCACGAACACACAGAGAAATGCATCCACTAGTTGTGAGAGGTGCAGGGAACAGTGAAACCCACATAATGTACATGGATAATAACACTTTACCCTTCTACTGATACTTCCAAACAAAGGTTATAGAAAAGTATTATTATTCCCATTCGAGTTGGAGAGGTTAGTCTTGCCCAAGGGTACACAAATAAGACACAAGAAAGCCAGGAACTGGATTTCAATCTCCTATCAGGCAGTCCTGCATTCTAATCCCAAGACTATCCACCCTCTCCTGCAAATGCAAAATGAAATTGTAAATTGCTTTTAACCGCTTCCTGGTTCCTCCTGTTAACTTCATGTTTGGAGTTTCATCCTTCCCCATCACACTATACACCCTCTAGAGCGGTAATTCTCAACCAGGGAACCATGGCACCATGGGGTGTTGTGAGTTTCTTTTAAGGATGATGCATTATGTTAGCACCGTTAGGTGTACAGACACCTACATGATTCATAAGATAAACCCAGAGATTTCAAATAAGAATCCACAGTGTTAAAAACATTCTGTTGTGGTCTTTCTGAGTTCTTTGCAATAGATGAATTGCTCTACTTTCTTCCTGTAGTCAAAAAACAAGTAAGAGCTAAGAGCTAGCATTTTCCCAGAGGTGCCTTCAGTCTGTAAAGGCTGAGAACCACTGTTCTAGAGAAAGAATTCCTTCAAACACACATCTTCTCCCAATCCCACTCTGCCAACATCAGCATGACCAGCATTTCATTTCTTTTTGCACTTACATATGCAGCACCAGAGCCAAAGAAAAAACATAAACTATTGCATATTTTAAAAAACCTCTAAAAAGGGTGTCAAAAAGGGCTCATTTGTATTTGCACTTATGTACCTGTACTTTGTACTTTTGTTTATAAACACACTCCTGTGCAAACACACATGAACCATGATGTAGTCATGTCTCTCTGGGGATGGGTAAATTCACTCTTACCCTCTGCGCTAACTTGAAATATAAAATACTGTGCCTGCGCAAGGGGACTGACTTATGATCACTTTGAGGACCGTAACTTTGAATTTCCTGAACCATCATGAGGAATTAATGTAGGTTTTTTTTGTTTTTTTTTCCCATTTCATTATATAAACTTATCAAACGAGTACACAGAGACGTATTTAAAAACAACCACCCATGATCACTTCACTGGGGTTTGACTGCTTCAGTATACAATATTGCTGTTATGTAAGATCAAGTGCAGGGGAGACCAAAGATGACTTTGGTAGCCAGCCTCTAACTTCTCATTTTCTCCAGACCGGAAGCCTCTTTCTAACTCTTGGCAACATTCAAAGCATTGCAGTGTGTAGAAACTGGTCAGGAAGTTGGTGTGCTCTGTGCTAGGCAAATTAGCAACAATAAAGCACACCCTCCCCCTATATCCCCACCCCTAAGAACATCGTAGAGTCTAATGCAAACCTCACAGCTGCTATTTCACTTTCAGTAGCTTAAGCGCTTCAGATTTTGCTGACCTCTACAATACTGCTTAATGGCTGCTGCCCACATTCAGCAAGTGGGTGCAATGCCACATGCCTGGAAAGGGCAAGCAGAAAGCCCTAAAATAATGGTTCAATTAAAAATGTAAAAAGAGACACACCAAAATAAGATGGGATAAATACACTCTGGCAGGGCAGGCTCCACCAGGACGGTCATTTCTCTTTAACATGATGACTACCTGGGAACAGGGGAGGGGCGACTGATCCTTGGCCCCTGCTAACTCCTTAGGATGGACCAGCAGCTCTGGCGAAGACAGACACCTGTGCACTGCATTCACTGGATTGGAGCCATTGCAGTCAACACTGCCACAAGGACTGAGGTGCTGAGCCAAAACGCCGTCAAGAAATGAAGTGACTGCTGTCTTGGACTGCTACTGAAGATTAAAAAAATTTGTAAAAAATCCTGTCGATCCCTGAATCAGAAGCTGATTGACTTAAGTTTGGTTTATGTTTTGTTTTCCCAAGGAGATGAGGAAAAGGGGAAAAGCTTTTAGCACTTATTTTTGTTACTCTTCTATTTTGGCAACATACTGACAGCTGCTTCCTGTCCAGTGGTGGCATTGCACTAATTACAGTACCAGCCCGCTGTATTGGTGCTGTTTGCAGCTGAACGGGAGGGAAGAGGGTTCTCTCCCTCATGTGTGCCCTGTTTCAATCTGGCCCGGTGGTGGATACGGATCCCTGTGCTGTCTCCCCCACAGCAACAGCTTCCTCCTGCGGGGGAGACTCTTCCTCAGCCTGCCCCCGTGATGTGACAGTGGTCTCAGGGGAGATGCTGTGTGGCCCCTCCAAGGGCACGCAGCCAGGGTGGTTCTTGCGAAAGTGCTGGTTGAGGATGGCCTGGAAGGGGAAGCTCTTGCCACAGACATGGCAGTGGAAGGGCTTGTTGCCTGTGTGCTTGCGGATGTGGTACTCCAGCTGATCCTTGCGGGTGTACTTTTTACCACACATGCGGCAAACAAAAGGTGTGATGCCCATATGGAGGCGCATGTGCCGGTCCAGGCTGCCTTTCTGGTTGAAGGATTTAGCACAGTAGATGCAGGTCAGCCGTGGGTTGTAACGGAACCACCGCTCAGATACTTCCTGTTCACGGAGATACTCGACGTAACCGCTCACTCCAATCATGGCTGACTCCTCGACCTAGGCCAGAAACAATGGAGACATAAAAAGGAAGACACTTTATTCCTCCTTGAGGTTCTGATTCAGTCAAGCCCTTAAGCACAAGCCAAGCCTTGATATCAGTAGGTCTACCTGTTAGCCCAACCTTCAGCATGTGTTTGAAGTGCTTTGCTTGACTAGGGCTTTAGGGCTAAACACAAGCAACTGATCCATTAGAAGGCACTGCTATAGGTCCCTTTTATGCCACTTTATTCATTTTGATCTGGGAAGGTAAACACAGCTATTATCAATAGAATACTTAGCCATCTATTGAGTTTTGAATGAAATATATTACATTTTGTTACTCATCTCAGACCCTGGACCAGTTTTAATTTAATAAAACTGTATTCTTTTTTCTGTGCTTGTTTTGGGGGAAGGGGAAGAGAAAACAGACAAACATTTAGTAAAACAAAAGCAAAAATTAGCACATGGAAATGACGTTGGAATCTCAAGGTACTTCATAATGTACTGGGTCTCAATGGCTAGTGAAATCAGTACCAATCCCATTTTGATGGGAGCTTAAAAAACAAACAAGCAAAAAAACATGGCTCTTTAGCCACAAGCTTGGAAGCCAGGACAGCCATTCATGTTGCTATTCCTGGCCAGCTACCACATTCAGACTCAACTGATGCAAATACATGGTCTCCTGGAGGCCTTCATACATGCTTGTGTGTTCGGAGTATACAGTACTTGCATTCAAAGTGTTATGCCAGAGTTAGAAGGGGCCAAACACAGACAGGCAGCCAGTGTAATCCCATAAGGACCATTGCTTCTGCAAAAGTATGCGTCAGCAATAACGTATTTGTGCCAAGCACCTTAGCATTTGTACAAACCTGAAATGAAAGGCTTCTTGAGACTAACTGAGATGAACAAAGCCACAGTATTTCACATCACAGTGCTGTCAATAGGTATTCTATTTGCTTGGGAGCTCCATTTATAGCATACACTGTATCAAGCCCAGAACGGCAGCACGTCCCCATGCAGTAACAGATGTGGAATACCAGCCAGTCTCTTGCAGTTTGAGGCTACCTCACAGGGGAAGATTTTTTTAGCCCTTTCCACAGTTAAAATTGTACCTGCATCTGCTTTCCCTGCTTTCCTCCCCCTGTCAGTTCAGCACAACCCAAACATTTCTGGATTTAGTCTGAAAAAACACTCCTTTGTGCCTTCAAAACAAGAAGAAAATTTAAAGCTTGACTTATGACACAATGCAAAGTTACTGGGTAGAAATTCTGACTTTTGTCTAATGTTTCTACGTCCTCTTTCAAATTCCAAAATGGCCTGTCATTACCCTTCCAACTTCCCATAGAATCTAGTCTCCTTGAAAAACTCAAATGCTAGCTCTATGAAGATAAAAAATTATGACAAAGCTATTAATAAACTGTATGGACCAAGTCCTGCTCCCTACTGGGTTCAATAGGAGTTACAAGCCCACTCCAGCACATTTAATGTCGGTGAGTTACTGTCAATTATTTATTTCAGCGAGATGAAGAGCAACTCCTTTTGTCACATGTTTCAGAAATGCTGGGCACTCACAGCTCCCATTGACTTCATCTAGAATTTTGAGATCTCAGCACCTCTGAAAATCAGGTCCAACATATGAATGACAGCGATTTTGCCTGTTATTGCTAACTACAGCTTAGCAAGAACATAACGCCATCCTACAGAAGGCATCTGCAGAGATCTTCCTTTTGTACAAGCAGTAGCTGCAAAAGCTTATCTAGGCTGTACTCCTGGTTCTTCATCTGTGTGTTTTTAATCTAGGAGGGATAGTAGCCTCTCCACAGTTCAGCTGATTTTTGTCTTTCTCATTGTAAGAAAGAAGAAATCACAACGCTTTCCATGTTTTTTGGATCAAGTCCCAATGGCAAGCAAAAGGTGTTCTAAACCCTTAACCCCTGAAGTACATGCTTTCACAAGGTAAGATTATGGTTGCTCTTGGACACATGAAAAGTGCCCAGTGCCTTTGTGTCATTTTAACTCTGAAATACTTTTAAAGCAGCCTTAGAAAGTTTATTTTGCACACCAAGGGCCATCACTACCACCACCACCACCAAGAACACCTAGTACTTATGCTGCCATACTTAGGTGTGAGCGTGTAAAAGGCTTTTGTCTTTGGCTCTAGCTAAATCACCTCACCTACATCTACTCACCTGCACCCACATTAACATCAGTAGGATGACTACTGTATACCTAGTTTGGGGATCTTTTACTGGTTTTACTGAAATGTCAGTTATCTATCGCATCACTTTTAAAATCCAAACATGTATAAAGTAAGAAATAAATAGTCATGTTCATCCTAAGTCGTACATTGCCCCAAAACACATACAACCCTCTTTACCAGTTATATATACATACACACACACACATACACATTGAATTGCAACATAATTATCCTGACCTTTCAACACTAATTTTTCCTTGCAATTGAAGCAAATTAATCCTAATCCCTGTATCAGGCTGCATACCTGGGAGCTGGGCTGTTTTGGCTCATCCATTCTCCCGGGAGACTCACTTTTCGACCTGTACCGCTCAGTTACAGTGACCATGCTGCCAGAAGGGCTAAATCTGTGGGTGGAAGAGTGGAAAGATTTTTAAAGGTTCCAGATCTGTACAACAGCTGGTGAGCAAGGGAAACATCTGCCTAAAATCTTTTCTTTTCCACCATCTAGTTAACAGGGGACAGATCAAAGACTGCTATCAAGAAGAAAGGTGTATGGACACATGAAAAAGCTGCTCTGCATTAAAAGGGTGAAGGGACTTTGCTATTCCATAACAATGACCCACAAGCAGGTTTTTACTGCAGGGTAAATGAAAACTGAACTGTGGAAGCTTAGCTATCAATGAAGGAGGGATAAATTATCACAGTTTAGCTTCCATTTACGATGGGCATGCAACCTAGTCAATTATCACAGAACAGCAGATGCCTGGTAAAGCCCATACCCCTTTTATCCCACAATAAGTTGTTCATCTATCCATATCCAAAGTAAACCCTATAGCCCAGCAACTCAGACAGAGAGCACTGTAAGAGAAGAAAATTCTCTGTCTGGGTAAGTGAAGCTGCAGCATGTCACATAGGTGATGCAGATGGGCCCCAAGAAAGGAACCGTATCAGTGAAAAGACAAATACACAAGTGCCTGAAGCCAACTGAAGCAAGAAATTAGAAAGGAAGCAATCCTGTCAGATAATTGTTTTTTTCTCCTTTCTGGTGGCCAGTACGGGATTATTTCTTATAGTTTATAGAGATGTTTTTAAGTTTTAAATGAAAATGTCAGGATATCCACTATTTCCAGAAAGCTGCTGATCAACAGGAGCAGAAGGGTGTGGGGGAAGGAGAAGAGAGAATGAGGGAAAGGGAAAGCACAACAGACCCTTTTGCTTTAATCAGATCCATGGATGGAGGGGATGCAAGGATGGAGAGGCATCACACATCAGATTTAACTACCTATTATAAATAAAGGCTTTCTGCTCTTACCATAGACATTGCTGCATAAGGAGCCACCTGTGAGTAACCTGATCCAAAATATTCTCTCCCACTCCCCTTCCTCAAATTTAAATTGCTTCAGGTAGGGACTTAAACCCTGCAAGGCACATCAAATCTTGCAGTCCTGTATCACTGGGAGCCAGACTTTCCGACTCAGAGCTGTTGATTGGTTTATTTCTGAAACAGCAGGGTTCACAGATTCAAAGGTGTTAAAGCCAGAAGGGGCAACAGGTCATTGAATTTCACTGAGTAATTCCAATACTAAGATCTCTGAGAGACCCAATTTCTGTACAAGTGATGGAGAATCTAGCCATTACCCACCTAGTTTGTAACTGGAGATACAGTTCTGGGTCACCATATAGCAACTACATTCTTGGTCCTGAGGTATATTCTTTGCAAGACTACAAAAATTCCTGAGAACAGCATGAGGTGGTCAGAAAGACAGGCTAACAAATTGTACAAACAAACTGCAGTTTGCCCTTCCAGCCCTTCCCAGTAAATGTGTTAAAGGAAACCCACCTGTCAATCTCACTGCTGGTTGGCCTGACCACTTTGGCCCCTGAAGATCCTAATGTATAGGTCTCTTGGCCCAATGATCCGTGGCCCGTTGTGTCGATCACCATGGCAGTGACCTCTTCAGCACTGCTCCCATCTTCTCCAGAGGGCTGATTTTCTGTCCCCAACCACTCTTCCAGGTTCTCTGTTTTGATACGTACTCCACTAAGCACCCTAACATCATCATCATTCCGTCCTCCGCGGTCTGCCACTCCAGTCTCCACGTACCACTGCCCTGCTCTGTTAATCCGCAGTATGGGCTCCCTACTCTCCACGTCTGAGCTTTGCTCTATTATCTGAGGGCTGGTGGACTCCTCAGGGGGGCTCAGCTCCCGAATGTCAAGTACTGTGCTGACCTGGCCCAGACGACTCCCTTTGGGAGTGTTGTGGCGTGGACTCAGTGAGCGGGTTAGATTTGGGGTAACCCGGTGAGACTCAGGGGGCCTCTCCTGATGCTTTGTCCTAGTTTGGCTCAGTTCTGCTTCAACTTCTGCCACATTAATTTTGAAGTGAATTCCCTCAAGGATCTGTGTGCATTTGTCTATAATGTGCTGCATCTGCAGAAAGCTGGCTGCTGTCAGGTAACTTATGATGTCAGCCAGCTGCAAGCATATCCGCCCAGTATAACAGAAAGAAAGGAGCTGTTCAAAAACAGAGGGATTCTTGATGACCGAAATGGAGACTGTGCTCATCTCGTTCAAGGACATATGATCGCGGAAGTAGGGTGAACTGGCAGCCAGCACCACTTTGTGAGCACGGAAAGCCTGACCCTGTACGTTGACTACTATGTCACACAAGCGGCCTTGCATACGCAGTTGGTTCAGGTGGCTCAGGACAGAGTTGCTGAAGTCCGGAATCTCCAGCTGAATGTTCCCATTTTTCTCCATGTTTATCCCAATTGCAGGTGTACAGTCCTACTGGAAAGAAAAACAGGACTCTTAATAGTGTTAAAAATAGCTTCCATTTAGAGCAGCTTTCAGCTCTGGGTTGTCAAAACCTCTCATTTTCATTGATGTACTGTGCACCTTCATTTAATAGGCTTCATAATGGTTTTCCAGGTTTTTCATGCTGGGAATCTCTCCACAGAAAACTAATGTGGGTCGTTTATGGACCCGCAACCACAGTTCCCTACTACTTAGAACTCAAAATGTTTTACCCAACAGGCCTGTGGGATGGGTCCAGTCAAGAGTGATATTCCATTATAAAAAGAGTATTAAAATGGTTCATATATTAAAATATGTAATTGGTTGCTTGGAACATCATCTACCAGTAGCAAAATACCTTAAAAAAAGAGAGACAGCACAATTCTCCGAGTTTCACAAAGGCATAAATATGTCCAATAACTTTAGTCACCCAGCTTCCAGGAACTCATTTCAACTCAGTGACCCAAGGTATCAGAAGCAGGTCATTTAAAACTGAGGCACTCAGTGCTAGCAGGCACTTCTAAAACTTGCCCAAAGGTCACATAGCAAGTCAGTAAGAGAGGCAAGAATAGAATCCCATTCTCAGCTCCAAGTCCTATGCTGTATGCTGGGCCAGACTCCTTCTATACAAACATAAGTTACAGTAGCTTTCATCATGCATAGAGCAGAATATTATTTGTGAGTGGCAATAAACAAAAAAGGTATAATTAATTTCCTTTCCATCATTTTTTATGATTGTCCTGTACCATTTTGACAAAGTCTAAAAATGAGTCTTGACCATATATGGGCAAAGTTTTAGGTGCATACCAAGAAAAAATAAATAGTGCTCAAAGACCACTTGTGGCATAAATGTGGACAGCATCTGAGGAGCTGATCGGCAGGAATGTTGCAGACATCAGAATATTGTTACAGAATCTAGAAATATCCTGGCTCCAATGTTATGTCTATTCTGAGAAACAAAGTCAAAAGGGACTAAACAGAGGCAACGTTGATCATATGCATCTTTGCAGGACTGGGACCTTAGACTTCAGTGGTGGTCTGAATTGATACAGTTGCAGGACAGTGCATGCTTATGGGCAAAAACAGGTTTTGTGCATGCAGAGCAAAATATGTTACTAAACTTGAAGTTGCATAGTAGCTTGACACACAAGAGTTGTGCAAAATAAGACAGAATTGTGCAATACCACAGGTAGGAATTTTGAGCATCTCCAAGGTGGTTAAGATTAAAACTTAAAAGTTGTGCAAAATGATTGCACAACATCACCATGCCACATCTTAAGGTTCCTCATCTTGCCTCCCAGCTTAAAAAAAAATGTTGTGTGAAGGTCTAAGTTAATGCAATGCTCAGGTCAGAATTTAAAACATAAACAAGGAAACACAAAACTTGAGCTCTTACCTGTAATGGTAATAGTGACATACAAAGCAGAGGAAGATAGGTTGGTATTCTTTTTTGTTTCTTCAGATGTAGTAGGAAGGCCAAAAAGTGTGTTTATGATTTTTTTTTCCTGGTGGATTTTCCCTTAGCAGCATCAGAAATATCAAGTTGTCTTCCCTAATTTTGCTGGCAGATTTGGAGGACTCATTATGAACATTCTCCCCTTAACTGAAGGGACAAAAACATTAAATTTTTAACAAACGGAACTTTTCAAACTGCTTGCAGAGTATTAGAGTGAAACTAGTAGGAAAAAAAGCAATCTGAACATAAGTCACTTGTCCTCTTAAAGTTTTCACTATTTGGTATCACTAACGTGATACAGCAAATAGGCATGCATGTATGTGTATTAACTTGTTTTAGTGGTCCCATCATTCCAGTGGCCCCATTGATATTCTTGAAACTTTGCAAGATGGAGGCTTACAATCTCATAGTCCTATCAGTTTTCCAACTGGCAAATTTCTAAAGTAAAATCAAAGACCATTTTTTTCTCTTTTAAAGCCTTGCAGACATTTTCTATCAAACATACCCAGGAGGGCACAGGCTGAGGGCATGGTACACACCAATTATCTGGGTCAGGAAGCCCTAGATTTCTAGGGCAGGACTATGCTCAAGAAAGGATAATGTGCAGGGATTGGAAGCAGCTGGAACTCAGCCTCCCAGGAAGTTAGCTTTTCATATATGAAGGGAAGGAAGAGAACCTACTTGTACGTAAATATAGGCTGCTGGCAGTGGGGTTATATAGCCATAGTGAGGAGTCAGCTACTTCCTGAGAAACCTGAAGACAATTTGTGAGTTTGTTTGCTTTAACTCAGAGGAGGGGGAAATCAGGACCGGCTTTTAAGTTCCAAACAAGGGGCTACATGAATCTTTATTCAACTTGGAGCTGAAAAGAGAAGCTTTTGTACTGGGTCTGGGATAAACCTAAATGAGAACAGTTGGCCTTGTATCTTTTTGCCTAATGGGCCATTTGTCTGACACTTTTAACTTGCCCATGGTGTATGCAGGGCTTACAGGGTAAAACAGGAGCTGTAAGAGATAGTAAACTTGCACCACGGGAGGTAATGCTGCAGTGAAACCTCAATTTTTGCATTTGCATTCCTAACCTTAGCACTGCAGAAAGCCTTTGTTAATGCAACACGTCCATCCTCTCCAACCTTTCATCTGAAGAGCAACTTTAAATTTTAGCTAAGTAGTGCTCTTATTAGGAAGAACAGCATATTATGCTTGTGCCCCAAAGGATCCAACAGCTCTGATCTAGTTCTGCTGCAGTTTTAAAGTGTTAGTGTCTAGCTTTTATGGGTTGAGAATATGCTGCTTGAGACCAGCTGAGACTCCTAATGTGCCAGGCCCTAGACACATGCTTAAGGTTGGTAGAATACATATTTCAGTGAATACTCATCTTGACTATATCCTTACTCAGAAAGTGACTAGGCTTGATGGTCCCTCAAGAACATCGTAAAACCTTTGCCTTCCGGGACTTCTTGGAGTGTTGAGTTGAGCTGAAGAAACTTGGTACTTGTGGACTGGGAATATGAACTGTTACTGGTCAAGTGCACTAGCTTTTATATTATAATTGGTACCCAGAACTTGTCCATTCTGAACTGAAATGGGAGATCTGGTCACTAACTTATCCCTCAAAGTGAATTTGCCAATTCTCATTTAGCCATTTAGTCTCCATTTGGTGGTGTCTCAAGGCCACTTTCCCTGGATTTAGGAGATACCTGCAACTTCTCATGGGTGGGAGGGAGCTTCTAGCACTCATAGCTGCAGATAAACACTTGATAACATGAATCCTGAAGACTGACAAGCACATCAAATAAAGCCTCCAAATTAATTTGCTTTTAAAATTCTCCTGGGGGGACTAGACTGACCCATGGTTTTTGAATGCTTGGGGTTGGCAATACTGTTTAAGCTCCATATGTAAAGAGTCCTGTATTTAGACACCTGGCTGGAGACAAGCTTTAGTTACAGAGTAAACCACACTTGATTCTTGCTTCTCTTCAGAAACTTCTCCGCTTATTTTATTTGATTTATATACAGCCCTTCCCCAAAAAGGCTCAAGGCAGCTAACAACAAAAAAGACAGATATTGTAAGAACAGAATAAAATATTCAAATGCAAAGATACAACAAAACAAGCTTCCCCCCACCCAAGAAAAATAAATATAAAACAATCCATTTCCCTACCTCTGACCATATCTCTGAGGCTGAAAAGGATGCAATGGGATGGCTGCCCATTATGATAAAGGGGTATCACCAGATCACAGCCACGAACAGCCATGGCACCAGAATGATGGGTGAGGTTTGCCAGCTCCCCTCTTCACCTCCCCACCATCATGTTAACAGCAGGTGACAGTTCCAGCACTGCTGCTTATGCCAAACTTCTTGTAATGGCATGCAAAAGGCTTTCTCCCATTTGGGACTCCGCCAATGCCAGCCACCAGGGCATGTTTCGATCACTAATGCAGTCTCGTAACCATTTGATCTTTTGCATCTCAAGTCTTTGCAAAGTTCATGCTTCCCATCAGGGACCAACCCTCTAAAGGCATGAGACCTACAAAAAGCATCACAGAATGCTACAAAAGTCCCCCTGTCACTCCCCACAACTAGACCGCCAGGGCTCCAAGGAAACCTTTATTATACCATAGTCTTTTCCTTACAAACTGTCACCACCCACCCTCCATACAGTCCTCAAGTCTGTCACCAACTGGTTAAACGCTGGTGCCACATCTTGCTGGCTCACATTTGTGCTACCTATACTCGTCTTCCTGGCCTTTGTCACCATTCTTTGACCCTCCTGATGACATCTGTCTCTCCTCAAAACCACTTTTCTCCAGTGCATCTTCCTCCTGACCTTATATCATCTTGCATTCATCTCTTTCGCTCCAGTTTTGTTCAAATAACTCCCAGAAGGAACTTAGACCCTTGCAGAAAATGTGTAAAGCCAGCAAGAAGTTGTTATAGCTAAACAAACCAAAGCAACCCCATGAACTTATCACAAGAACCTTTGTCCTCATTGCTCCCACCCAGCAGCATCCAAACAAAGCTGCGTGAGATGAGTAAGTTCCTCAGCAAAGGGCCTGTATTTCATAACTTCACATGCACCAAGCTGTATACATCTCAATTTAGGAGCACAGCAGCTCAGCGTGAGGAAAGCAGAGTCCTCTCTCTGATGCGAGAGGCAGCTTCAGTAAAGTGTGGGAATGGTCTTGCAGCTGGGTGCGGGGGAGGAG